TGCATAGTCAATGGAATGGCAAAGTTCGTTCGGAAGACCATATACGATGGATTTTTGCCGAGGAGACCTTTGTGCCACACCAGGATCATAAGCCTTGGAGATGTCCAATGCTACCTAGATTCGCCATGTTTTTCGAGAATCGAGTTCCATATATGACGTACGCAAGAGATGAGTTTATAGACTTCGAGGTATTTAACCTATTTCAGGTTGACTGTCTTTTCCATTACTTTCGAAAGTACGGATATATATAAGTGAGATAGGACGATATGTAGTTGCTAGGAAGAGTTTTCTTGCACTTTTTCGGAATGGGCTGCACTTTGGCACATTTCCAAATCGACGAGAAAACGCCTCGACTGTAAGAGAGTGAAAACAGTTTGCAAGAAGCCAATTTTTGAGCGCAAGTTTTGAGGACAATTAGTGAAATGCCAGCGGGAACACAAGATTTTCCAGTGTCAAGTTGCAGAATAATTTTCTAAAAAAAAAATAAAAAGAATACGTTTCACTATTAAGAAATTTTTTCAATAGTTTCAGGTCTAAAAACAACGTTGTCCATGTAAGAACCAATATGTGGCAGTACCTGTGGTATTCTGCCATTGTCCTCCATCGTGGAATTGGATAGAAAATTGTTTGGCAAAGGGATTCGCTTTTTCCTTTGACGATACATCAAGGGAATTATTGTCCTTACAACTAAAAGTGGAAAGGAAGAAGATGTGGAACTTTTTCCTATGGTCTCGGCAAAGGACCAAAAGGACCTTGATCCACTCGGGTAGTCCCAAAGTCGATTCAGCACGTGTTAGTTTGTGTAATCTCTCAACCTCGTTAGTTATATGGTTGCAATCATTTCTGGCAGTCGTACAAGGGTTTTCCGGCACGGAATGTTTTATTGAAGTATGGAATGTACAATTCCTTACCTAAGGACATGATTCCGGTAACCTCTTGTGCAGCCTCGGCGGAATCTTCGGATTTAAAGCAAACGGATCCACAAAAAGGTCGAGGAAAAGAGTTTTAGGCCTTCCCAGTCTGCAGGTCCATAATGCCACACCCTACGATGTATGTGGAGCTGGTTGGATTCTAATTGGAGACGCTGGACGGTAGTTTTTATGTTTGGGTCGATCTTCAAATATTTCCATTGGTCTGGAATTATCGTTTAGCTCATACATTCCTGCATTGCTACCGCAAATAAGCTGTTGAGCTGTCCACCCTACTGCCATAGATTTACTATTTTGTCGAATATTTTAAAGTTAGCATTGATGGAATTTAAATTTTGGCTGCATGTAGCTAAATTCACCAAAATGCTGCAATGCCACGAATGCGGTAATAAATTGATTCACTAGTGCATGCTAATACCAAACCCTGTTCAATTTAAGTCGTGCCTACACTAGCTGAATTTAGCCACACGCGGATATTTGAATAGCTTTTCTGGTGAATCAGCATTGCAAGACCCCTTTCATATTTTCTTTGGGCTTGAATCAACTTTTTCTTAGCTATGGTATTTTGAGACGCATGTAATAGTTTTTGTGGATTTATTTTCACCGGCTTAGAAAGTTTACTGCTGTATTGCTCCCTCCAATGGATAGATACATACTCAAAGTTTCCAAATAAAATTCTCAAATTTTGTTTTTTCATTTCCGGTTGGTTGGAGTCCAGTGACATTATCACTGCAACCAATGAGGGGTTCTAACTTGTGTGGAGAGATGTGCACCAACATCTTGAGCACAAAAAACACATGCTGGTCTTAACGGAGACGCAAGTAAAATTTTCTGTCAACTAGAATCCATTTCCTACGTACCGGCTATGAACTTCATACGCGATTTCGCTTTAAAGGGAGACTTTGTGCCTTTTGACAGAATGATCTTGAAACACCTGATCACGATGTAATTTGGCTAAAACTTATTTCTGCGAACACGGTTAAGTTTGTTTGCTGCGTGTATCTTTCACCCAACGACGTTATGAACTTCTATTTGAAAATCTGGCAAATTCATGTGATTCTATCGAAACCCATCCGGAGATTTTAATTTTCATAACTCAGAGTCGCTTAAGTTCTCGAACAAAACAACCCATGCTGGAAGGATTTCTGAAGCATTTTCCATTTCACACATAACCCATTTAGTAGAAGAGCCTACACGTATTCCCGATTCCGTTTCTCGGGCCAACTTACTCGATTTGTTCTTTACCACTTATTCCGATCCATAGAAGATCGATGTGTTAGCACCTTTGGGCCAATCAGACCACAAATTAATTTCCGCTCGAAGTTCGTTTGTTATACCCGCAGCTCCTGCCCTAATACCTCGTAGGATGCAGACTGGGAAACCCAACAACTATTTTTCTCGACCTTTCCGTGGTCTGTCGGTCTGATGTTTGCTTTAAATCCAAAGATCCCTCTGAGGTTGCACAAGAGGTTATCGAAATAATTTCCTTAGGTGTGGAATTGCACATTTCACGCTCCAATAAAACATAACCCGTGCTGAAAAACCCTGGTTTCACAAGCAGTGTGCCCGAGCGGTTACAAAAAACTACTTCTAAACAACTTCTCCTTCATAGGGCTTAGATTAAATCATATTATCAAATCATACTGTTATTTCCATATCTGGAATGATGCTCCCAAACATTCGTTGGCTCTTTTAGATGCAGTACAAAGAATAGAGCAATAAAAATAATCGATAATCCAACTCTCAACGATTCATTGCAATATCTCGAACATAGAGCCAACTTTTCGTTAATCTATCTCTATTGCCATGACGATCTGGCCAGCCTCATTCCAGCTAGGAGAAGTTATTTGAGAACCACAAGAAACTCTTGGGTATGTGGTAAAGTTGGCTACCCTGAGGACCTCCAAATATAGGGCTTCTTTGGCAACTGTGGAACTCCCCGCCTCCTACTTCATTTCCTGAACCATTTAACCTAAACATGTTCAAACGGAGGGTTAATCGTCACATTTTCTTACGGTCATGGTATTGCCTAGGTAGTATAGATTTTCTTGTTGTGAGGACCAATACATACAAAAAAGATGCATGCAAAGGATATTTTTATTTCTTCAAACAGGAAGCTTCTCTAGACGTTTTGTCGGTTCGAGGCCTATAGTCATATTTTCTACAACTTCATCGTCTAGATTCCTTAATGGTGTTACATCAAGATTTCCAGCATTAGAATCATCGTAATTAAATCGTTTTATGGGATCAGGTTCACTACATTGGTCGTTGTTTTGATTATTAGGTCCATTTCTATTCATCCTGCATTCTACATTCATATCTTCATTCAAAATTTCTTGATACAGAGCAGGATCTCCTCTTGGCGCAAGGTGACATTTAGAGTCCGCGTCAACAGTAAAGAGTACGGTGACGACACGGAAAGCTGCGCGAAGCGGGTCGGATCTCTCTCCCTCGTTTATCTCTCGCTGTCTGCCGTGACCTCGGCCGTGAGCTGAAACCAGCAGCGGGGTATCCTTTTAGACAAAGCTTGGATAGAAAATAAACTAAATAAATATGCCTGCTGGCCGTACGACAATGAACCACGTGCTTGGCGTTCAGCAGCAGCACCGAATAATACGATAGTTCGGTTAATCTTCAAAATTGGGTTTGTGCGCATTTGGCGTCACCGTACTTTTTACTCTTGACGCGGACTCTAGACACAGTTATTTCTTTACCATTAGCTAAACTGATATAGGCATAATCAGAATTAACTTCTAGGAGTTGCACTTCTTCCACAATCGGTGCATCTTGCTGTCTCACATGCTTCTTCAGGAAGACTGGACTAGGAACACTCAACCAGGTTGGAATTGAAGAACCATTTGTAGATCTTCGAAGATGAGATGAAGACATTTTTTCATGCGGTCAACAATTTGTTGCTGAACATAACAAAGACTTGAATGTAAATAGTCGACCAGTACTTGCTGCCAATGTCTCATATCTGTATAATGCCATTAGACCATTTACGCTGCCCGTTTCCATGCGGGTTATATGGAGCAGTACGACTAATTGCAATCCCCATGTCGTGTCAAGAATGTTTCCAGTTGTTCAGACATAGGTACCTAAATGATGTTCCTCCTCTATCACTATGCATGCAGGTACGATGGTGTCTCAAAAAACAGAAAAAATTAAAATAAGCGCACAAGTAGTTATGTTCGACGGTCATATTTTTTAAACTGAATAGGCAGGAAGTTCAAAAAATTATTTCGAATGTTTCATCGTGGAACATTTCTGTGTAGTATTTGTGCAAAATATTGAAATTAAAAATCAGTGCTAATTTATCCAATGTATTTGTACATAAAGGATATTATTATAAAAAACTAGAAAAGTTTTATAACGGTAAAGAATCCATAAACATAACCTTTGGAAATTTGGACAAAATACTTAAAATTTGGTAATTAATGTCTCTTTAGCATGAAGAGCTTTCAGCACAATATATCGGCCAAAAGGCACATTGGAAGTTTTATTCAATACAACTTGCCTGGTGCGCCATCAGTCGTATTACAATACGACGGATTTCATCTAGTCAGATTCTAACGCAGGTTCATTTTAAGAATAAGACTAACATGCAGCAGGCGTATTATAATGCGACTGAAATTACTAGTCTTATTGTGAAATTCTTTGGTATTTGGTAGTATTTGGGTAGTATTACAATATGCCTAGTCGTATTAAAAAAGCCTAGGCGTATTATAATAATAGACTGATTTTACATTAAGCCTGCGACATATATACATTCATACTCTAGAAATAGTATCTGGTGATATGGCACTTTGAAGATCTATCGAACTGAAGTATTCATACTGAGAAATTCTCAGGTACCCATATCTTCAATCCTGGGTAATGGGTATGCGTTCAAATATGTATGTAAAATACCATACTACCATTACCATAACAAAAATAAATTTTTATTTGTTCCCAATACTCTCAGTTGTCAGCTTTCAATAAATCATCTCGATCAATTCAATTGAATTTATCATCAATTTCCAGATATTTTTTAATTATCGTAATTTGGATTCAAAAAAAAAAAAAACATTTTTAAATATTAACATTTATTTCATACGATTCAGTATAGTTTTCATGATTAAAATAGGTATATCGAAACAATAATAAGAAAAAAGTGTGATAAATAATTTAGTATAAATATTACAGTACAAAAACAGTAGGTTTTTACAAAAATTCTATGATATACATAGTTTCATGTAGGTACTCATCAAAGTATCTGACATAAAAAGCTGCTACACACCATAAGTTGAACTAAATACACACAAAAATACAGAAAAACCTGTAATTTATTGTTCCATTTTAATACTTATGAACGCTTTCCAAAGGGATAATAATAATTATCGCACTCATTCAAAAAAGTTAAGTTAATAAAAAAATACGTTTGTGGCTTAGCCTAATTAATATTAGAATATATTGTTGAGACCTATGATATGGTCAAAGTATTTTATTTTTGGTCAATTTGTAAAATTTTCTACAATCTACTCATTAGTTTTTGGTAACATCTATAATATTGTCTATAGAAGAATTCTCGAAAAAAACTCAACCCTCATACCAAACAGTGGTTTTGCTTTTTTTTGGCACAAAAAAGTTAGTTTAGAATTTATATTGTCTACAAAAGGATGGGAGCCAATAAGCTTTGACATTTTGAGCTTAAGTTAGAACAGGAAATTCATCATACCTATTTACTTAGATTCTCAAAAATTGAGAGAATCCAAAAAATATTGTTATAGCAAATCCTCAAAGTGATGTAATACCTCGGTACTTAATTCCTATGCGGTTTTTTTTTAGAATTTTTCAATACATTTCACATTCACTATATGTATATTATGCTTTTTGGTGAGACAATTTTTAACCTATTTGTTATAGTGATATTTTCCTTACATATTATGAATAATAGATCTTATCAAAATGTGATATATTTTTGTTTTTATTAATGAGCCTAAGTTACACTATGCTCGACACTACATAACAATGGTATATGTATGGGATTAAAAAAATGGTACATTCTCACTCATTAGTAACAATATTCTGAATAAAGTATGTCCTCCCTTGTGATACTCAAAAAGAGATCTTACGCTTCATATGGCATACCATAAAGCACATCCGTAATAATCATCACAGGATAACATCCTAAATTCAATGCATTCATATTTTAGTTAAAAACAATATAAAAGTACAATTCACATTTTCACTAAGGCAGATGTTTTTTTCTTTAAATATAAAACAGGGTGGGAAGACACTATGATATTAAATATTCTTCTATTGTTGGTACTGTAATAATACTTGTGACAATTTTTGTTCTGTTTAAATATAAATATTACTTAATTAATCTAAGTTCTAAAATTACTCCGTTGTACAATAAAAAAATCTCTCAAACGTGTCTCAGGGTAACTGGAGAATTCCGGACTGACGCCGGAAGTGACCTGGAAGCCAGGGTTCTCTCAACGCGATAGGCATCCTCTACCTCTAGGTTTTCCATCTTCGTCATCTATATTAGAAAATAAAATGTGATATCGATTATAGTTCTTTGATATATCTTTTTGGGCCTGCTTTACACATAGGCTTAAATTATATAATTAATATAAAAGATATTTAGTGAAATCTAAAGCAATGTAAAGTAGACCCAATATGTGCATTTTTACTTTCTAATAATTACGAACAATTCAATGCCAACACCATTAATTTTGTTTAATTTGTTAATTATTTTAGTTTTTTGTTGTTGCAACTAAATCATCTAGCCAGCCATAACCAGAGTAATATGTGTGTTTAAGTGAATATACTTTATATAGTCTTGATTGAAATGACAAGCTTTATTTAACTAGCGCTTCACATCAAAATTAATATCAATCTTTTTTTGAGTGTGCATCCTTCCCAACAGGTGAAGTGGACCTGATGCATTTACGAAAGGTGTTTGATGTCCTATGTATGCCCTATATTTTCCCCTCCTTGCATGAATGATTGTAGTAATGCAAAAACCTCAGAAATAAGGCTTTAATGGACAAAATTAAGCATAAGAATAAATTGACAAATAATTAATGACACAAAAATACAGGTAGCAATGGTGCTAAAACATAAAAGTGTATCACCACATCCTCCCCAGGCTTATTTTGAAACATAATCTGTCAAGTACTACTTTGGAGACTACCACAGATTTTTCACCATTATCATCGTCATTAAATTCAGGTGCACTTCTACGTGGTGATAGATGTATTAAATTGACAGTATCTTCTCTGCCATCGGGAAAACGAACAAATGTATATATTCTGGGTTTTCTTCTAGCAAGTACACCTCCTCCACAAACAGGTCGTATTCACTTTTCCTAACATTCTTTTTCAGCCAAACAGGGCCAGGATTTAAAAGTCAGGAAGGAATAGCTTGTCCATTGCTGGATTTCGAGTACCCCCTTTCGTTGTTTCGATATCCGATCACGAGACTTCAGTGCGAGCGAAATTGTTTTCCATATTCTACCATTAAATCTTTCTACTTGACCATTGCCTTCCGGATTATAAGCAGTCATTTTGCTATTGGCTATACCTTTTGATAAAGATATTCCTTCAGTTCTTTTGACATGGAAGGCATTCCAAATATTGAAAATACATTTGTGAAATATTTAATCACAGTCCCTGCAGTCATATCAGAGCAGGCGTACGCAAGAGAGAATCTTGAGAATTCATCTACAATTAATTGTTAACAGGTAACGATTTGTTGGAAGAGGACCTTTAAACTTAATGTTGAGCTTTTCAAATGGTCTGATTGATTTTATAAGTATTCCTTGATTTTTACTGAACTTCGGCTTGAGTTCTCTACAAATAGTGCAGGCTGCGGTCATTTTATGTACATCGTCTATGGAATAAGGTAAATTTTGAGATCGAATCCAGTGAAACATTCTAATTATTCCAGGATGACAAAGTGCATCATGTAATTCGTACAATTTATTCTCAGTTGAAGCCCCACATACCCGAGAGAAAGTATCGGCTACGATGTTCTCATTTCCTGGACGGTAGACTATATGTCATATGAATAGCATGAAAATTCGAGTCGTCAGTGTTGAATTTTTTCATTTTTTATTTTACTACTTATGCTTCGTGTCGAACATGAATGAGATCGATCTTTGATCAACTTGAAATGCCTTCCAATAAGAAAGTGACGCCATTTCTTCAAAGCTTCTACAATTGCTAGTGCTTCTTTTTCAACTGCTGAGTAGTTTTGTTCACTATAATGATAGAGTTTTTGAGAAAAAAGCAACTGGTCGTCCAGACTGGCTTAGAATTGCTGCTATTGAATGTTCGGAGGCGTCTGTTTCCACCACAAATGGAATGTTTTCTTCAATGGCAGTGACAGCTGATTTTGCTACTTTAGTTTTCAAGTTGTGAAAATCAGTGATAGCAGGCTCTTCCATAGGCAAGTTTCTGGTACTAATAATTCTATGAATTTTCTTGGTATTAATTTAGAGCAATGAGCGAACATGCCCACAGCTTTTTAAAGTGAAGCTTTATTAGTTGGTACTGGCAGATTCTGTAGAAGTTCAAGGTAGGATCCAGGTTTAAGTGTTCTGTCTCCTATAAGATATCCCAGTAGTTTAATTGTCTTTTTGTTTAACAAACTTTTTCTTTTATTTTTAGTTTGGTTGTACTTTTTAACAGCTGTCAGAAAAGTATATAGATTTTTATTATGTTCTTCGATTTTTTTCACAAATTGTTATGTCATCGACATAGGCGTAGACGCCTTCTAGATTCTCTTGCCTGATTATTGTATCTAAGGCTACGTTCACCAGAACCAAAACGGATTGTAAACAGTTTACAAATACCAACAGAATATCTTGGGTAAACTCTTGGTTCTACTGAACTATTCAACTTTTCAATGAGACAACGTCACCTTCTGAATGACAGGTCATCACACAAAACACAGTGTTGAAAATTATAAACACTATGAAGTTATGCTTGTAAAAATGGCGACCGTTTGCAAAACATGTTTGGTTTTAACACAAATTCATCGTAACGTTCAGCAAAACAATCGCAAACCGTTTACCAACGTTTATATCTGGTGAACGCGGCCTAAGACTCTTTGAAAACAAGCTACGCCGTTAGTCACACCAAAAGGGATACGATTAAACTGGTACAGGTTTTCATCAGCTTCAAAGACAGTGAACTGTTTTTCATCATCTCTTGTAGGGAACTGGTGATACGCACTTTCTAGGTCAATAGTGCTAAAAACGTCAAACTTTGAGATTGCTCTTGCCAACCCTCAGATATTAAGTTGTTGATTGTTTGAGAAAAGTCAACAACCATTCTCTTTTTATGATTTTCGGCCATTGTCACAAGACTTGTGCTCACCAGGAAAACGTACTTTCTTCAGTGATACCTTCTGAAAGAAGCTTTTGTACTTTACTTGAAATAAATTTTGCATCATCATGTGAAAATTTTCTCGATTTTGTAGCGATAAGTTTGCATTGCGAATTGCGATGACAGATTAGCGAATAATTGCGGAAGTTCAATTTTAGTAGGAGCTAGCGAACAGTTCTTTGTTTCAAGTACAGTAATGGCAGATTTTTGTCCTCCAAAATAAACGGTCAACATTTTATATTGCTCAAAAATGTCATGAACAACGATTATATCAGTACAGAGGTCTGGTAGAACCGAAACTTTTACGTTTGCATAATGATTATCAAGAATGTTGAGGTTGACAACACCATCCTTTGCTTTGTGAACGCAGAGAAGTTTGAGCCATAGACACGTAGCCTTTACTTGGTTGAACCGGGAGAATATTGGATAAAACAAATGACTCATTCAAGTAAGTCTCAGAGCAACCAGTATCTATTAACACATCTGCCGATAACTGATCGATTTCTACTGGCACTGCAGTTTTAAATAAACTTTCAAGAACAGAAGCCAATGTTTGAGACAGAATAGATGCAGTTGTACCACGATTTGAACTTCGACAAACAATAGTACCTTTTTTACTGCATTGTTTGCATGTAGCATGCAGAGCAGCACAAATAGAGCGATCATGTCGTCTATTTCCACAATAATAGCATGTAAAAAATTTCCCGGTAACACTCAAATCAATGTATCTTTGAGGATTTTACTAGAATTGATGAAACTTGTTGAAGCTGTTTGTGTAAGTTTGGAATGTTATTGCGCAGATTCAAGGGATAAAGCTTGTGATGTTGCTTCATGCATCTCTAATGGAAAGTTCGCGATGTTCTTTGGCAGTTACATTGCTGAAGTCACAATCTTTGCTGAGCTGATTCAAAATTTGATTGATGTACTGTCTCATGTTTTCTCCATGTCGCTGTTTCCTCTTAGAAAAAATATGTCTTATAAATGCTTAATTTTGTGGTTTTATATAGATGTTATCTAAGATACTCACAGCATCAGCGTAGGTTTTTGCATCAGAAACGTATTCGAACACATTGTGACTTACATAGTTTGTGAGTAGCTGCAGCTTTTCTACTTCCTCTATACTATATCATATCCTTTACTGACGACATAAAGTTCTGGAATGTAATTTTCCAGTGACACCATTCCTTCGCTGCATTTGATGAGTTAGAATCAGTATCAAACCTTTCAGGTCTCAGGAGCTTGTCATCCATAATGTCGATTAAATTGTAGTAATGCAAATACCCCAGAAATAAAGCTTAATCGACAAAATTAAGCTTAAGATTAACTTGACAAAAAATTAATGACACACCAATACAGATAGACATGGTATTAAAACAAAAAGGTGTATCACCACAATAATTTGATTTGATTAAATATTTTCCTTGATTTGCAGATGTCTTTTTCTTGTAATAATAGATAATATTATAATAAGAAGTTTCAAAATCTCAAATATTGACAATATTTTACTGGTTTTACTCTTCACTAAATGTCATCTGAAACTTGGTGACCACATCAGGTATCATTATAAAACTACCTGCCTACGTTTATGTATCATATAACACCTTCCTTTCTTTAAAATTTAAACTAAACGATTTCGACGTTTTCAAACTTTGATTTTGTTCTATAAAACTTGACAGGGGATTGCAATTCCGTTGAATTTTCCTTTTGTTCTTGTATAGGGCTTAACATATTTCCAACTACTTAGGGCCGATATTATATTGTCCAGTCAATCTAAGGTTAACCGCACAACCGGACATTATAACACTGGCCCTTAGTATATTTGTACAATTTCCATTCTCAGGCGTATCTACTAATAGTCCAAGAGCACAGAGCTACAAGACACAACTTATTTTCTAAAGGACAGAATATGTGGAATTGAATAGCACTTATATGTACTATGAACGTATGTATACCCGCTAAGAAGGGTAGACGGCCAATTTACCGACACCGCGAAATCTGAGAAAAACTTTAAATTTTTTCTAACGCTTGATTTTTATATATATTATTGAGAAGACTATTTCATAATTACGTGTGATCAGCCAGACCAATCGCACGGGCCTAACATCTCCAGAGACGCAATAATAATTTTTCCGTAAGTGTGAGCGCG